AGGGCTACCAGATTGGAGTCCAGCACCCGGTTCGTCGATACAACCGAGGGACCAAAAGACTTCAAGAGCCCAACAAACTGCGCAGCGGTCAGTGCAGGTCGAGCGTGAGGTGGAGATCTCACTTTTTCGGCGTATGATATTCGAGGGCGGCTCTCGTCGTACAGTGTTCTGGCCTTGCGAAGAGATAATGCGAGAGGTCTTAACCGAGACCAGTTTTTTTACCTACGTTGGGCACGTGCTGTCGTAAATCATGTGCGGAGCCTGGTCTTTGTTAAAATTCACGCAATAAGCTATCTCTGAATCGCATAATTCAGTTGTGACCTCGGAAGGGGCACATTTCCCATAAACGCACTTGTTGCGGCAGAACTGTTTGGTATGACCAAATCGCTGGCAGTGGAAGCATCGCATGGGGTTCGGCATGAAAAGGCGCACCTTGACACGTGCGTATCCAACGCGTATTTCAGAAGGCAGATCCGGGCAATTGAAGATCAAGATGATGTTATTCGTCGGCAGTTGCTCACTGCTTTTTCTATTGGAGGTCCTGCGTGCAGCAGTCATGCCGAACACAGACAACTCGTCACTGATCTCTTCTTCACTAACGTCACGCAAGTCGAAACAGTTGATTATTCCCCTGGAGGCATTTTTTGTCAGGTGTGGTGTTACTCAGATAAGCACAGAAACGTCTCCTTTAGCATCCCTGTCCAGAACGCAGCACGGGAATTCGGCTGCAGACCTCGCACGCTGTTTTCCGCTGTTTTCTGTCATCGACGTGGTCCTTCCCCCGTTCGGGGGTCAGGTGGCTTTTTGGTTATAAGACGCCATGCAAGTTTCCGTGAAGTTTCGGCACTGAGGCTCCCCATCCACCACGGATCCCAACTGGGGGACGGTCCAACACACTCTCGGGAGGTGATCGCCGCCAGGGCTACCTCGGTGATATACGAGACGAACGATGCCTGCGATACGGCCAGGTGTGACCGGGGAGACCGCTCCCCATCCTGACTGTGGTTCAGCGTCGCTGCCCCCTCAGCCACCAGGATCCAGTCAACTCGGGGACCCGGGCGGGGGGAGGGGGGGGGGGGGGCTCGGAGACCCGATAAAAAGACCATTAGAAGTGATGAGTGAGACGGATCCGGGGGAGCGGGTAATGGGAAGGGAGCTGGTGGGACAAGGGGCAGGAGCTCACCTACCGGCAGGGTCGCTACGACCTGAGAGAACAGCTGGCACTGTCCACCCAATACCGGAGCTGGGACTCGACGGGGCGCTAGTCCCCTACACCGGCCGAAGCCTGTGCCCCTGCGGGGCCGAATTTTTGACAAGAGTGCGTAGCCGTAGACAAATCGACGCAGAAGCCGAACTAAAGAATATATTTGACATCTGTAAGCTGAAGATGTAAGCCAGTTGATTCATCATCCACATGCCTTGTCGTATTGTTCCAATACTACACATTGAAATATTAACATGTCAAAGAACAAAAATCGTTACAAAAAGTAAACTCAACATTTTTGGACTCAGACTCACCTATGAAGACATGAAAAAGGTATCCCAGATGCAACCATAAGGGATGCCTGTACCAGGTTCCAAGCAATTATCTGTAACAATGACTGAGCTATGGCTTGAGATGCATCCAGCGCTTGTTGCCCGTACCCAAGTGCCGGGCCCGTGGCGGCGAACCGCGGGGCTCAGGTCTGCTGCAGCGGCGCGCTGATGGCGCCGCCGAAGCCATTTTTCAGTTTCACACAAACCCACGGCCACCTGACTGGTGACGTCATTAAAGGGTATCAGGTTGCGCTATCGGCAGGACTGAACCATCGAAAACAACGCGAAAATCAATCAAACCGCTTATGCACCACCGAGGTCATCCATTTCAACTTGACCCTTGACAGTCTATGAACAAATAATAGCTCTTGTTCACGTATCTGATACTCGTAATGATGGATGAGCTCATGCACTCCGTGTCTAAATACTTAGATATGACGAAAATAAATAAACCAAAATATACACATAGACCAAGGTTTTAGCTCTCATTCGCGCGGCACGTGACCTTCGTTCTAAGCCTTGTGCGGAGCGTGTAATATTGGACACCTTTCTAAGCAGCATGTTTGATGAGCGTGCAATTATTTTACACGAGATACGCTTCTAAATGAAATGCCGTATGAGAGCGGCCATACATTCCAAAGTAACGTCTTTATCATTTGACCTCGACCTGTGATCTTAATTATCACTTAAATTTAAGTTATTTGTGTAGCCTAAGACCGCACGCCACGGCTCAATCGATTCCGCTTTGAATTTTCTTTAAAAATTCGGCCCGGTCGTTCTTGAGATAAGCATGGGTGGGGGGCCAAATCTGTTTCCCTCCGGTCAGTGGTGTGCCACTGAGGAGCCCCCGGGCAATGCCGGGTTATGGTCCGGGACGCACAATGGCCCAAAACACGTCCGAATGTTCGGCGCTGATATGTCACACATGCGACACGCGAACTAACCACGCCAGCTATGCTATTTGAAGATGTAAATCCAGCTGCACGAAAAAAAACGGATGTAAACTCTGGTACAATGGCCTGCTGTTTCAACGGAATCGTTTTCGCCCCGCTTAGCTACGGCCGTGGCCGCCACGTGCCCATCCTTTCCACACAGGGTGTCCGCATTGCTGAGCTATCAGCTGGGTTTTGACACGCGCTCTGGCGATTTTCATCAGCATGCGAATTTCGCGCTACCCGTGTTAAATCAAAAGAGCGCGTTTGCGTGCACCGCCGGCGCCACGTCGGTCCGATCTCGCCAAAAATTTGACATAATGATGGGTTCCCGCTAGCCTGGCTGCAAGCCAAATTTCACGAGGCCAGCTCGTAACGGTGCCGAGCGATGAACGCATGTATGCATGACTGAGGGGCAAACATTCTTAAAATGATGATAAAGATGTAGCCTGGACGCGACATTTTACCTGTCAACATACTGTTCAAGGTCAGATCACCGACTGAGACGTCACCCATGTGATCTTCCCATGCTCCGGGATACCACCAACGTATGGAGTGGGCAGCCAGCTTTCAGATGATATCTATATCAACCACGTTGTGTTGTGATACCATTCGTTAACGCTTAGCCGGACGATCGGGCCGAGAGGGCCGCCGCCCGCAGCGTCAGCATCCTGTGTACAGTTATACTAACGCACACCAACAAATCGTACTTAATGCCATGCAACCGCGCACCAGCAAGACAACCCCGCCGCCGACCGCGCCCGGCTCTGTGCACCGGCCACTCTTCTACCGAAAGCCGCCATTTGAACTGTGCCAGTCTCCTCCCGAAGGCTGTCATGTTAACTGGACCAATGTTCTCCCAAAAGCCGCCGTGGCAACAACAGTGAACTTCAGCTCTGCCTGTCTGACTCAAAATAAGCATCAAGAGGAATGATCTTTGGGAAAGGCGCAGGCGCACGACATCATACATGCACCAACGATGTTTGAAGTTCATGACATGATCACACTATTAGACTCGAAGATCATGACAGGACCACACTATCCACCTCGGGCACACACCACAAAGATCAAACTACGACAACTGCATGGCATCACTCAGACAATGCGCAAGAATTTCCAGCCTTTAAAAATGATGGCTTTTCCAAAGGTCATAAATGCAACAAAAGCCACAGGGTTCGGAGGTCACGGGATGTAAGACAGAACCGGAAGTAGCGATCATAATTTCCGTGCAAAAAAAAACATTTCTTCGCCTTTTACTGATGTGATTGTTTCATCAGATCTACATTATCATGGTGCATCTATTTTCTGACCCAGCTTTCCAGAAAAAAAATCGGTGGCCATGTGACCTAGATAACTAGAAATCGCATGGATGTCGTGTGGGATAAAAACATTCAAGTGCCAAATGTAATCGAAATCGGAGAGGTCATAGAGGACACGCCTCGGTGCTTTGTCGTGGAACAGCTTATGCCAGGACTCACACACCAATCACCCTCATCCATTAGACCTGACATTGCGTCATGCGTCACATATATCTATGTCTGCTCTGAGCTATCTGTAATTTTCCGGGGGCTGTTCCACGCCGTCTTCCTCACTGTCGTAGCATTAGTTGCTGGGATGGTGCGAGAGGTTCATGCGGTGTTGATTTGCCGCTCATGAGCTGGAAAAACGTTACGTTCATCATCGCTCAGCGCTTGCCGATCTGATGCAATTTGACAGGAACTTTTCGATATTATTTGCCCCGTGGACCCACCCTGCTTAGTTTTCGACATCTTATGGGAAGAGGCGGGATCTGAGGCACCCTTCGTGAGGCGACCGTAAAACCCGAGGGCGAGGGTTAATATTGAGTATTGTGCGACTCAATCTCAGCAGATCGAGATCGTGAGGCTGCCATCTAGCCTGCAGCGACTTTGCCCGAGGCAGTTACTTCGTAGCAGTTACTTTTGCTGTCCCTTACCTTAGGACCCCACATGTTGAAAAGGCAATCAAAGTAAGATGGGCCGTCGCACGATATCGCAATACGTGCCGCGGGTGCGAATCTGCCGTACCCCATCAGCGGCCTGGTGCTACGTCTCATCAGGCAGTCCTGCGGCGCAGTGTCAGCGGTGCTGCTGGGCGACGCCGCACAGAGCGTACTGCTCTGCGTGGCGGTGTTTCCCTGGTTCTGTGCTGCTGGTCTGACTCGGACAGGCGACGTCGAGTCAATGCGAGCGATCCAGATCGTCATGAGAATAGCATCAATGAACCGAACTGGAGAAGCATTATAAAGACAAGATTGCGAACATCGTGACCCGCAATCCGTGCATTGCAATAGCCACACAATGCCCAACACACTCCATCACCCCCTCCCCCCCCCCCCCCCCCCCCCTCCCCCCGATGCGGTTCCCGAACTCGCAACAGATCAATCTGACGCCATTCCGTCGGAGCGAATCCTCACTCTCGTCACGTGTCTTCACAACGGCCCGTGTCGGCCCTCCTGAGGGCAGCGCCAACGCGCCCGGGGGCGTGGCGCGCGCGACCGCGGACGCCGCTGCGTCAGACCTGCGAGAGGAACGCCATGAGGCCCGTGTCCGACGTTCTCTTGTCTGACTGCGAGAGCATCTTCTGCAGACGCCGCTGCGCGTGCCTGCTGACGGTGGGTGTGGTCGCGGCGGGCGCGGTCACGACAGGCGCGCTGGGCGGGGCGTCGGCGAAGCCCCGCCCGCTGCTAGATCTGCGGCTGGCCGGCGTGGGTCGGCCGCGGCTTGAGTTCTTCAAGGGGATGACCGCCGCCGCGGGCTCGACGCCTGTCGGAGTCGCCGCCGGGGGGATGGCCGCGGCACGCGGCGTCTGCAGCCCGCCGGGGATGAGCAGGGCCGGCGCTGCGGTCCCGGCCCCCACCGCTGCGCCGCCGACCGGCCATCGGCGGCGCGGCGGCGACCGGCTCCAGCTTCGGTGAATCGACTGGCGCGCGCTCCGGCCGTGCCCGCAGCGGCAGGCGCGTCACGTAACTGCACAGCTTGCACTCGAGAATCTGGGGAGAAAACGAGAGTCCGGCAAACATTGGAGCAGCCACTTTTAAGCAAACAACCCCAAACATCCTTGATACCGCGTGTCACTCGGGGTACCGTCCCTTTCTCCTTTCAGCGAATGGATCCCTGCCGGCTCAGGGTCCCTTGCCGACACAAGATGCCCCACCCCCTCGTTGGGCACTGTGGGGCACTGACTGGTGGACTCCTCATTGCCTCAGGGCCCCGACAAATGCAATGGCTTCTGGCTGACACCCATGGGTCCAGTCCTGTCCGTGCTTGGAAATTGCCCCTGGCCTCCGCGGGGCCGACTGGTCAGCAATGATCTCTGATCGGCAGAAGTCCGCAATATCTCATACGCTCGCAGTCGGTACAAGAGGTCCTCTGACTGGCATTCATGGGCTTCGACCCTGCAGGTCAGGTCCCTTAAGGGGTAATTCAATAAATAATATGTTAAGTGCTATTAGGGCAAGCATCAAACATGATGAAAGAAGCTCACTTTGTAACTGTTATTGAAAGCAAGAGAACACTCTAGACAACATAATTTCACTACTTAGTAAAGCAGCCACTAGTCAGCAGGTCAAGCCGGCATGACGCGTTCCTATTGGCTGGGTATGCCAGACTGCTCCCCTTACAATGAATGACCTGTTGACGTCACATAGCGACGCAGCTGCAACAGATAGCGCGAGGGATGCCAACTTCAAAACAGTATATGGAGCCTTCATGCAGTGTTCACACCACGTCGGCAAGGCCTCGCGCGTCCTCCCGTCCACGACGATCCGTCTGCCGACAGATATGTTTGGGTGCGCTTGTCGCGCTTAGAGCTTACCAGGCAGTCGCGCGCGGCCAGGAAGCGGTCCAGCAGGCGGGTCTGCAGGCGGCCCAGTGGCCGGCCTTGGCGGCGCTTGTTTAGCAGGCGGCGCAGCGGCTTGGTGGCGTCCGGCCTCGGCCGCAGCTCGGCGCGGTACCGGCCGAACCACCATGGCATGCAGCAGCGGCCGCAGAGCGTCTGGGCGCTCAGCAGCCGCCGCGCCGCCGCCCAGCCCTCCAGCCGGGGTCTGCAGCGCTCCCTGCCGAGGCGACACAGTGAACAGAGGACACCTGGAAAGAGCAGGCTGGCACTGGTACTGAGGGGCATCCACAGGATGATCAAGCCAGCAGCTGAGCAGTGGGAGATGAGGGTCTGTGATGGAATACCCAGCTGCAAAACTAATTCATTATTATTTTGGTTTATCACAGCATTTAAAGTTCAGGACGCATTTGAAATACAGATGTCCTACAATATAAGAAGAAAATTGAGGACCGATACATTATATGCAATACAGAAACACTGCATTAGAAATTGGACTTACAAGGCACATCTGATATCCTCCACATCCTGGCTGCAGAAGTCTGTGGCTATTCTAAGCATGAAATGTGTTGTTATGTCTTCCTCTTCATGTTCTGATCTAGGAGCTTCCATGACCAACAAAACACCTCAGCTTAATGGGCAGCTTTTCCACCTGTAATACACAAAAACTCATGATAGAATGACAAACATTCCAGTAGTTTTTTAAATGCTGCACTCACCATGATTGGCACATGTAAGCTCATTGATAACAACACATTCAGTTGCATAAGGTCACAAAATGAGGTGTCTGCTGCCATGAAATGATATATGGAATTAGCCCTATGACTTTTGTTTTATGGATTAGGGAAAAAACAGCTGCAGTTTGGTTCATTATGTAACAATCCAGAGCATACCCTCCTGGAAAGCTGCATTTTTGTGAGCTTGCTCTTTCCACTGTGATAATGCATCAAAATTGTGATCACTTCAAAGCCCAGTGGGATGCCATTACCAAAGATGATAATTCTATGGTGGTAGTTTTAATTGGGTTATATTTCAACCATGGAATTATTTTGGTATATGGCATCAAAGTTACTGGCAACTCTAAAACGCTCCCACCTGTGATGACTGGGATGTGCTTTTGTCCATATAAATCCATCAAAGGGCAGTAAAGCTGCCCAAGTTCAGCTTTCAAACATTTTTGTCCATATAAATCCAGACTTGTACTTCACTCCTGGAGTCAAATAGAAAACCAGAATGAATTCCATCTGGCTGGAATCAGCTTTGAAATATGTTTGATCCATAATTGCACTTAATCAGGTTCATACTTGATAAACATAGCCACAACATGGTTGCGATGAAGTCATCAACATGGCTACCTATCGCTTTAAGTGACAACCACAAATGCAAAGTCCATGGTAGAGAACCAGACTGTGCTCTACATCCCCAGATAGCAAAGCCAAGGTTGCAGGGAAGGGGCTCAAGCCTACTACCAATTGAAATGGAAACTACCCCCTGTCCCTTCCAATGATAACCCAAGAACAGGCTTACCAATTTTTTCCTCCCAGTCAAATTCTGATCACATTGCATTCAAGTCACTTGGAGTCGGGTTCAAATCTAACTTTGCCCAATTTGAATGGAACACAGCATTGTATTTGACATCAGATCATACTCCACACATATATTTGGCTCTGCCATTAGTCTGCAAGATAAAACTGTACTCCACCAAACTGAAACCAGGCATAATCTCCGCAGTTGTGCACCAAGCCATCCAGTAAATATTTTGCCGGAGGTTTTGCCAAAACTAACTGAATCATTAGATAGCCTTCAACTGAAAGCAATCATTCTCTGGAACTTTTGTTGGTGCACATAAAAGGTACCAGATATGCTCATGGGGTCATCCCCTTAAACATTGCAGACATGTTTATATCTGTAATTAAATCAAGATACTCTGAGTTTTTGCGAGACAAGAGGACAATTGAATGGCCGTGGGCCAACGTCCGTCAACCCAGCAGCAGGCTGATATCCAACTGTCACGTTGTCGGTAAGTCGCGGGGCGTCCGTCGATCTAGCAGCATCTTAATATCAACTTTTTTTTGGTGAGCCAATGCAAGGCCTCTTTTTGCCCTCGACGGACCTTAAGTCACCTCCGGGGGGGCGAGGAAAACTACTTCCTGCATAAGGCCATGCAGCGATTGCGTTAAACCAAGGCGTTAAGCCGGCTTATGCCGTCCGGCGCAAAGCAAGGGAGAGGGAATTTTGAAGTGGCGTTACATTAACCTCGCTCATCTTGTCCAGCAAGATCATAGCAAGTAAATCAGACCACAGCGATAGATATATTTATTTCGTGACGACCCAACCCGCATTCGGTACGTTTCAACCACAAGCCATCCTCACCGGCCCTCCCACCTCACTCCTGGGATGCCGCGAGTCTTGCGTGGGGTGTCCCTGCCAGTGATGGCCTTGGCTCAGCTGACTTGTCGGCGGCCTGTGCAGTGGATGGATGCCGGGCCGCTTCATCGCAGCAACGGGGAGATCAGTGCCAGTCCCAATTTGACAGGCGGTTTGATTTGTGGTAATTACGATGTACGAAGGCAGCTCCTGTGTGACCATCGCGTCGGGAGCCGTCAGCATAAGTAAAGGTGTGCTGGTCATATTCTTCTTTGAACTCAGCGAAGAGTGCATGCTCTTCGGTTCGGTGGACTGCCGGAGCGCTCGCTGGCCTGCGCGTTCGTCGCGGGGCTGCCGGACGCCGGACGCCAGACCATCCGCGCCAGCTCCATGACTGAAGGATTGGACCTGACCATCGTCCTGGCTCGAGCTCGTGCCGTTCTTAGTGATGAACGGGTCTTGGCGGTGGCGGGCTGCGACGGGCCGCGGCGCCGTCCTCCGGCCAGCGCCGTGTGTCACCGCACAGTCAACCGCCATGCGCCCCGCGTCACCTGCGCTGCTGGGCTTGCGGAGAGCTCGGTCACATCGCGGCGAGGTGCCAGCAGCGACCGGGAAACGGAGCCGGAGGGAACGGTTCAGCACCGCCGTCCTCTCCTGCGCAGCACTGAGCGGTGCGCTGCCCGTCACGCGGCTGAGGGTGGATGGCCGGGAGTGCAGCGCCCAGATTGACACCGGCAGCACAGAAAACATCATCTACTCTCCCTTCGGTGCACGGTGGACGCCGCGGCGGGTGCGAGTGACTACCATCAGTGGAGGTGAGCTGAGGTGCTGCGGAGTCGGCAGTGTGGTTGTGGAGGTGCCCACGGGCCGTCGCGCTTCGCTCGAGACGGTGATGGTAGGAAGGCGGCCGCTGGGGGTGGACATGGTCCTCGGCGTGGCAGGCATCTTGGCTCTGGGGGCTGTGACCGTACTGTCCCCGTCTGAGGTTCGCTTTTGGGGGGCCGCGTGTCGTGTGCCGCTGAGCGTGGATGCCCCGGATTTCAGTGTGTGCTTCGACGCGGCGGGGCAGAGGTGGACCATTGCTCGGAAATGGTCGGACGGCGTGGGACCGGAGTGTCTGACGAGCACTGTCGTCCAGCATGCTGTGCCGCCAGCCGCTCGTCGCGAGTTGGACGCGTGGGTCGCACGGGGTTGGCTGGTGCCGTATGATGAGGGTCACCATGGGACGGCGAGGGGGCTGGTACCGTTGATGGCCGCACAGCAGTGTAACAAATCCAAGATGCGCCCGGTGATGGACTACCACGAACTGAACGGTTTTGTGACGGCCCACACAGCCGACACTGACGTGTGTGCTGATTAGCTCCGGAGATGGCGCCGCCACGGTGCTAACGTGGCGGTGATAGATTTCAAGCGTGCGTACCACGGTTAGCGGCCTTCCCGGGGGTGGTTGCTGGCGGTTTACACGAGGGGATGAGTCGGTCACTGGTGGGTCAAACGCAGCTCGCCGCGCTTGAAGTGCCGCCTACTCCTCCAGCCCGAACCCGGGAGGGTTCACCTGAGGCGTTGTGGCCCGCAGCGTCTCAAGTTTCTCCTTCCAGACCGGGCACGCAGGATCCGTCACCAAGTGCGAGACATCTCTGCCAGCGAGCTCTGCACATGCCCTTGACGTGCCCGTATCGCAGGCACCGACAACAGTGGCGGTGCAGCGGGGTGTACGGGCGGACCTCATACCGCGTGTAGGCTGCTGTTAGATGCGCAGGGAGTTCCAGCCGCCCGAAGCGGGCCTTAAGCAGGGGAGTTGGGGCGCTAAGCTCTCGGTGGAAAACGGGTCACTGCCGTTACTCCCTGCGACACACTCTCCTCCACGATTTTCCTCACGGAGTCCCCCGCCAAGCCCGGGGCGTAGGGCAGCTCTTCCAACTGGTTTAGCTTGTCTGCTAAGGTGCCCCGCACCTCTTAGCCCCCGAAAAATGGCCATGCCAAGAGGACTCGAGTTTAACCTACGTCCCTGGTTTTGAGGAGGGCGCCGCTCCTCACTGCCGTGGCCTGGGTACACTCGTTCCCAGAAGATCGTTAATTTCGTTCCGGAACTTGTAGTGACTGACGTTCCTGGAGGACTCGGTGGGACAAACGAATCTTACCAGGAGGAATGCCGCCCCCGTCGGGATCCATCTACATTCCGCTGTCGCAGAAAATGTGTTGTCCTCGGCCGGCACCATGCCTCCGCCCACTCCGTCGTTGCCCTGGGATACGAAGTAACACGCCGTGCGAAGGAACGAAACGGGCGAAAGTGTCGATGTACGAAAAACATATAAAAGGGGAAAAGTACATGAGACTTACATCTAGGGAACTATCACGCAACAGAAACAACGGTGTCACAGTTCTGAAAAGAATTTCAACACCACGTGCTCAAGAAGCAGAGATGACGGGATAAAACGAGGCAGCAGGCACCGCACGTCCTCACGTTACCAGATCACATTAGAGAGACGGCGTCAGATCGAAACTGCAGGGCGTCTCGATTGCCTCCAAGTTGGGTGTGCAGGGTCTTCTCAACACGCTGACTCCGAAACTTGCTGCATTTAGGGTAAGATTTTACGTAACGCCCGATTTACAACACGCGTGACATGCCAGTTTGATGTTGCGGGGCATCTGCATTACCTCCAAATTTGGTGTGCGTGGTCTCCCCAACCCCCAGATCCCGAAAATCATAGGTTGTGGGGTGAAATTTTGCGTAACTTCAGAGTTACAAGACGCGTGACATACCAGTTTGATGTTGCGGGACGTCTCGATTGCCTCCAAATTTGGTGTGCAAGGACTTTCCAACATACTGATTCCGATGGGTTGGGATTTAGCATAGGTTTCAGCTCCAATGCGTGTAGTTGGAGCATGCGCTCGCGCATCTTAGCAACAAACACTTCGATATCAGGGGTTGTGGTCTCCGTAGGCCGCGCGGCGTTGGCCCTGTAGCTAATTTTGAACGGTGGCGAACAGGCGGATAAAGATATTGACTCATCTGCAAACGTACCTTTGAACGCTTTGGAACATAGAATCGCACGTCTAGAGATATTCCAGGCGTATACCTTATTTCTGTAATTTTCAGATTGATGATACTAGCGGACTGACCTTTACCTATCGCGAGGTGGCGCTGGAATCTGGTGGTGGGGATTTAGCATGCCAGGCTGTTACTGCGGAACGTCTCGATTTCCACCAAATTTGATGGGCAGGGTCTTCTCAAAGTGCTGATTCCGAAAAGCATGTATTATGGGATGAGGTTTGCGTAGCTTCCGAGATACAAGACGCGTAACATGCCAGTTTTATACTGAGGGCGTCTCTATTGCCCTTTTGGATTCAGGGCGTCGTGCATGGCCCTGCACGCCAAATTTGGAGCCAATTAATACGTTCCGCAAGATCAAATTGGCATGTTACCCGTCTTGTAACTCGCAAGCTACACGAAATTCCACACAACAAGTATGCGTTTTTGGGATCACCGTACCCAGAAGACCCTGCACATCGCGTTTGGTTTGGATGCAATCGACAGTCCCGCAATCTCAAACTGGTCCGCGGAACTAACTGAATTAATGTGGACATGGGCTAAAGGTGGGCTTTTAACTGAGCTACAGCTCGGTGCCACATGGAGCGCCCACAGCATTTCATATATTCGCATGCACCAGAATTGTTCGTGCCTTGTACAGTCCCGTCGGATTTCATTCCACCAAGAACAAATAACTGACGAGGGATTCTTGCTTTGGTGGAATCCACATGCCCCATATGTGGGCAAGCTGGGCTCATATTAACATTGGCTGCAGGTGTACTGGTGTCTAGCCTTAGTCTGAGCCCGGATGGGGTGCCCATATGTTACATGTGCAATGAAGTTGCCACACACAAGATTGATCTGTATACAATTGTTTTTATCGCGTGGGTTTACCATATCGCGTACAATGATTCTAAGACATGGGACTGCTGCCTGGACTGGGGTCCATATGGGCCTGAGCACGGGCTAGCTGGGCTCATGTACATCTAGGTTGCAGGTGAGCTGGTATTTGAAATCAATCTAGGACCCAGATGGGCTCCCCATACACTACCATATTTGGCACAGATGCATAGGCCTGCTAATTCGTGCTCCCGCGTTATACTTTTTTCTTATCATGTTTAAATGAGTACATAACAAAGGGGAGCCGCGTGGGCTGGATTTCACATGGGATGCATGTGAGTAAGTTGGGCTTAATTCAACAAAGGCTGCAGGTGGGCTGGACTTTGGGTTCCATGTCGGACCCAGATGGGCTGCCTATATGCTGAAATCTCCAGTGGTGCATTAATTTTTGTACTTTGTTCTCCATGGTTAGATATTTTCTGATCGTGTACAGACTACTTTGCAACAAGGGTGAGCGGCATAGACTTCGGCTCCAAACGGGCCGCACGTGTGCAAGCTGGTTACATGACTGCATGGGATGCGGATGGAATGGTGCCTGGACCCCATCTGAGACCCAGATTGGCCGCCCATATGCTATCACCTTGACTATGTGCGTAATAAGTTTCGTGCTGCGTGCTTTCTGGTCCGCTTTTACCATGTCATGTAAAAATAAGACCGACAACTGGCATGGATCCTATCCGCATAGACGGCGCGTGGGGGAGCTTAGCGCACGTCAACATTGACCGATTCACTGTCATGCCACTTGGGGCAGTTGGTGTGCTCCCTGTCGGGAGTTTGTGAGCTAAGGGCATGCAGTGAACCCTCTATTTACCTTTCGCTTTCACTTTCACTGGTGGCTCACTGGTCACGCCTGAAGGTCCCCCGGCAATTAAGAGTGTCCCGCTGACCGGTCGCCCAATGGGATCCCGGCTGTGGGGAGGGAGGGTTTCGCATCCCTTCAGGGGTGCGGAGTTGCCGGTCAGCGGGCCAGCTGGCCACGTGGGCCGGCAGCACCGAGCACACCGCTAACAACTGTCTTCCACAATCTTGGTCAAAGTTTCTGGCATTTGCATGCAGCTAATCAGATGCAGTTTCTTTGAGTTGCTTGGTGTTCAAGGAAAACAGTCCCAGAGGGTCATGCTTGAACTTATCGATAGCTTTAGTGACATTTAGTGTCATTTTTCCGGCGGAAAATCCAACGGGTTGACCCCAATGAGATGTCGCGATTGGTAACTAGTTTGATGTTTTTACGTTCATATTTTATCCCACTAGGACAGATCAAACGTCATTTTTCTGGAAACAACGTTCTTCAGTTCTGCATGCGCATGTTCACGTAACAACGCAGCTTAATAGTGTACCACTTACACAAACGCGTTTCTTGTTCAGATGTACGTGTGGATATATATATATATATATATATATATATATATATATATATATATATATATATATATATTAGATGTGCTTTGAACACACGTTTTTTATGCATGACTCTGTTAACGTAATAGTGTTGGCCGCCGTGCGCCGGGTTGTGCTATACTTAGTCCAGAAATTCAGTTATTTGTCGTTGCCAAGCACAACCTCAAACCAGAATGATGTTCTGAAAAAAATTGTTTCGCTTTTAGGGTTTCTCATTATGGTCTGGTTTGAGGCCGACGAACATTTCCAAGACTACAATGTTTGAACAGAACACCGGATAGTTGAAAATAGCCAAGCTTCATTCTATGAATAGAGATGAAGCCATCCCCCAACCACAGCATTTAGGCGACATCGGAAAGGTGGCGTGAATAATTTGATAATCGGGTGATATATTTTTTTCTGAAACGTTCTTATAGCTTTGCTCTGAAGGCAAACAATCGATGCTGCATTACTTATGTTTAGGGACTTCAACGTACATTTTTTGCCAAGCAATGTTTGCGTTGCCGGCATTGACGTGCTCAAGATTGTTTAAAATAAGTTTTATATCTTGTTTCGTGCGAGCTCTTTGCCTAGGAAGTTCTGTCACCCCTTCAACTTTCGGCCTTAACAAGTATTTTGCAGAATTTTTTTAAAACATGCAAGGTTTGCTTATGAGGCCTTTGTTAATAGCTTTTTCGCACGTTCTTTTACCACAGGCACTTTACATCATGCGTATTACGCACATTTGTTGACAGAGAACTGTGTAGGAATTTGCTTCGTGCGCACGATCTTTCTCCAAATTCATTTTTGTCCTAAAAGCTTTGTCTTGGTGGTGCTTGCTAACAGGTTTCCAACGTTAGTGTTGACTGGAACAGCAGCATATGACTGGCAATCAGCGCTTGCTAGTTCACGCTATTATGACTTAATTCGAAACCACTGCAATTAAGCTGTGATTTTAACCCGGAGCTGAGCAGCAGTGCCCTACGTAAACATGTTATTGAGCATGCGGCTGTACTCATAAACGAGGCATGCCCCTTGCACCGTACCACGGCAGCGGCAGCGGGAGCCTCTCGCTGCCACCACACCGGCGACGCCGGCAGTCCACCTGTCCAGACCCGCCCTCCCACCCATTGCGCCCCGCTGTGCCTGACCTCGGCCTTTGCTTCTGCCGGCGGACCCGCTCTGTGCTCCTCGGTAGCAGGCGTGAGGGAAGTTGTCGAGATGCAGGGGGGGGGGGGGGGACGGGCAGAGGCATTTCAGGCGTTTCTTTCCATGTACCGCCGCAAGCCTGGTGCTTAATTATCTCAGTTGTTAGGGGGTTGGCTCGATCCACTAAAGCCCTCCCCAAATAACGCGATCGTTCCCTCGCCCTTGCTTGGTCACATCGTCCCTGTCCCGGCGTCCCGTTTATTATACTGGCGGCTGGCGGTCGGGGGCGTTTGGCACGTTCCCGCGCGGCTCAAAAAGGGTGGCTGCATTTACCAGACAAGTTGGCTTGGGGAGGACGCCTCGTGGACGTGTTTATGTTCGCGTGATGAATGCATCGATGAGTGAACGTTGAGCGACATCGTTTTCATTTCGTGGCTTGTGCTTTCTTGTGGCAGGATTCCTTTTAATTGCCTTGGCGTGGTTAATTTTTCTGGTGTGTTTAAAGTTCCCCATACAAGTACTCCGAGCGAGTACATGTATAGTGCATTTCCGCACTGCTATTCGACATAGCAGCTCTCATTATTATCAACCTCGGTAAACGACTTCCATAAAATCAGTTCTTTCAGTGCCCAAATCTGTGAACATGAATTATCGTCCAAGCTCAGGCCGTGGGGTACTCATCTGAGGTACCGAATATTGCCATCTTTATGGGCATCCTGCGCAACACACCGCGCTACGGTGCCCCCCGCAACGAAACGGAAAAGGTACCGGGAAAATGGTTTCGACGGGAGAGACTGCGACGACGACAAGAAACACCGCGCTAACGGCGACAGCAACAGCGACGCATAACTTCGTGCTTCAACGCATATATTAATGATTATTGTATAGGGCATGGTAACTGAAACGTGTATGTTTTGGGGACCAGTGGTTGCCGAGGGAATTTCGGACAAATATGAATATAATATATTCGGACATAGTGAAGCAACCTGAACCCGGCTCATTATTGATGATACGAAGCAGTCTGCCTGGAATTACGACGGTGTATCAGTCAGATGGAATTGGAAAAGGCTAGATCGGTGAAACCTAACTGGGGCCCATCCGGGGTGGTTAAAAAGGCCCTATCTTGTCTAGTTATATGGGTCCCATCTGGGCCGACTATATGGGTCCTCGCTGAACATACCCATTTGGGTCCCAGCTGAACGCGCCCACGTGGGTCTCAATTGGGTAGCCCAGTTGGGCCCCACGTAGGTCATAATTAAGCCTCGCGTGGGCCTTAGGCGGGCTGCCCATGGCGGGAACCCAGTTGGCCACGCTATGTGTCCCAATTGGGCAGCCCAAGTGGGCCCCATGTGGGTTCTAGTTTGGCTCCGTATGGACCTCAAGTGGGCTGCCTATGTGGGACCCCGGTGGTCGCCGATGACATTCCCAAACGGGACCGAAGTGGGCGGCCCTGATGAGGCCCAAATGACTGACTATCTTGGACCCACATGGGTCCCAGTTGGACAAACTGGCTAGGGAAGGCCCTGCGCACCAAATTTAGAGGCAATCGTCACGCCATGCAGTATCCAGCTGGCAATCGGGTATCAGTCTGCTGCTGGATTGGCTGGAAAGCGAACTAGGCAATCCAATGAACAGTGTTTTTCATTTTTTATAGAATTATGTCTAATATTTCTGTTACTTACTATGACGTGACATCGTATTCGAAAAGGTCTCCAAATGTCATTGTCGTCAGATTCGCATGTCGCTTTTGGTTCATAGTTGTCGCCAGCAATGTTTCCATCATTTTTTGGTACTTCAGAGGTGTTCGGGGCTGCCTGTGATCTGTGTTCACTGGATTGTTGCCGCTGGGTGCGTGGAGTGCGCGGAGCGAGGATTTGGAGAGAGGTGATGGTTGTCGGCTTGTCGACCTGAGAAATTGGAGACAATTCTCAAAAATAGTTCTTGAAGATTTGGAAGTGGCCAGTGAAGAAACCCGAGCCGCTGAAAGAACCTGTACACCTTCCGTTACGCTCGAAGCTTTTTCCTTGAGAGACGTTATAAGAAATTCTGCAGGACAGACTGGACAGTTTAAGTGTTGTCCAGATTGGACAATAGACAGCATTATCTTCCAATTGGTGCAAATTGTTAAAATACTGCTCTAGCTGCAGCCATAGCTAAAAGAAGTCTTGAATTTCAGTTCACGTAAAGATACATTTGGGCATCCTAACAGCTAACCAAGGGCTTCATCCATAGTTCTTGCAATCATGTCTGCTGGATCGGTGGAGTCTGATAAGATTTTCCAATGGATTCAAGACTTGACCAGCGCTGACACCAGAGAAGAAGCACTGTTGGCTCTCAGCAAAAAGCGAGAGGTAAGCATATTTTCATGATTTTCAGAAGAACCCCTTTTTAGGTAGGCATAGGTATCTTACATTATAAAAGAGCATTGTACATAAATGGTGCTCTGTAATGTAGCAAAGATTGTAAATAATTGAAACAGGTATATATTTATGTATATAGATATAATGTACACTAACCTTCAAACTTCACTGATTTCCATACAGCATGCCAGAGTGACCCTGAAAGAGATAGTGTTACTCCTGACCCATGTGTGTCCATTGCAAGATGCAGTGAACAAGTTCTTCCTCTGACAACATGGTCTCTCAAGGAAAGTGAAAAAGGGCCAGACTAGCTTAACCTAACTTACTGTTACCTAACATAGCCTAGCCTAATCTAACCTAACTTAACCTAGCCACCATCACCCTGACCAATGTGCCCACTCTGTCCCCTGAAACCCATGTTCCATTGGAGCCTGTGCCTTCATTGTGACAGTCTGATGTTTGACTGGCATCTGCTGTTAACATCATGATTATTATGTTTTGAAAATTAGGTTGTAATATATCCATATACTATTCCTATTTTATGATGATTTAAGGTGACTGATATCCTAAAAATGTGAATTATTGAACATCAATGCTGCACTATAAGTTACCATTGTTGATCATGACAGAATCCTGGGTTGTCTATCTTTTCCATACCGAGGTGCTAGTCTGCCAAAAAGTTTCCCAGTGTGCCACTGCCTACATGACAATGGTGCTATGAACCTTCTGCTCATGCAACCAAACTCAAGCCCAGCCTAATCATGCTTAATTTTTAATTTTCTCTCAGATTTACTACTAGTTTTTTCACAACTCCCTGAATATCTTTTTGTTGAAGCTGGTGGCAATTGTGCACCGAATACTGAGTACTTATTATACTACTGTGTGAGCTGAAAATTGTGCTGCAAGCTCAATACACCAGATATGTATGTTTAACATAACAGCTTAACATGTGTTTTGTGCAATCTGGCTCTGGTTTCCTGGCTTGACATCCTGGTAAGAGTAATTCCGGCTCGCCAGATGCTTCATAACACATATTTTACATTGCTCTGTAGCATCATGTTGTGTTACTCTGTGTTGCTATGACTCAGGGATGCTGATTTGTACTCTATAATGTGAAATTTCTGTTCCCCCCAATATGGATTTATGCCCCCCAAGTATTGTTGTGTCCTCTCAACTTAGCCACCCACATGAAATAAAAACTGAAATTCTGTCTTTTGTTGAGAATGAGATCTTAGATCTTGAAAATAATGTAAAAGCTATTTGGCAAAAAGCTCATTTTTCTATCATGGCTGAGGACATGTGATCAGCAGGGGTATAACTATTGTTCAGTTGGTAGGGGAGGGGAGAGCTTCAGCCCTGCTAACTTTGGCTTTAGCCCTTCCCCTCAGGTTTGGGAAGGAAGTGGGCCATATTCATGGAGAAGCACATTTGTTATGGTTTTTAGAGATTTATTTTGCCTTTTTCACTATTCATTCCCTCAACTCATTTGCAAAACTGCACCTATATCATATTTGTCATCTCATGGAATCTCCAGCCACATATGAGCCAGTAAAAAAAAGAACATGACATGGCACTGACATACCATTGGTGTCACATTGCCTAGAAGTCTTGTTCCAGAATCCCTGCCCACCATAAGGATCTCAGAAACATTTTTGATGACATAAAGCTCCCTCCAAGGTCGCCATTAAGGTCCTGCTGAGTTCACCATCAAACATGGTGGATGTTTTGGTTTTGCTGCATACAGTTGAGCAGTAAGTTGAGTTGTAAGACCATAGCTATGTAAGCTGAGCCATACAGTGCTGGGCATTGCCTTCTGTCAGAGGTTGTTGGCAAAATGGCATGCAGAACATTGCATTTATATCGTGTGTGTCGTGTTTTTTGTACAATGAACGAAATTGCAACATCTGTGTCATCAGTCTCTGCTGGTTACTGGCACTGTTGCTGCTTGTCAGGCAGTTTTAACCGGTGAAACTGGTCGGCAGAGAACTTTTTCAACAGGCTGCTGCTAACCCTACTTTGCTCATGCCTTGTGGGGGAATTATGGAGACATTTGATATGAAACAGTGCTTTATGGTATCCCCCCACAGTTTCGCCGGCGTGGTCAGTACTTGAGCCGCGCGCCCACTGAGCACGCGCCGTGCCTCGGCCAACAGGTGGTGCCTGACCTGGCGCCGATGCTGTGGCACACGGGCGCCGTGATCGCCGCACTCCTGCATGAGATTGTCAGCATCTACAGCTACATGAACCCTCCGACGCTGACCGCCAGCCAGAGCAACCGCGTCTGCAATGCGCTGGCGCTGCTGCAGTGTGTCGCCTCCCACCCGGATACGCGCTCGGCCTTTCTCGGCGTAAGTGCGCCGCGCCGCGGGCTGGATTCGGCCAAGCGACTTGGCAGCTGCAGAATGTTGAGTGTCGCAGCAGACAGATGCTGTTTTTGCGTGCGTTTCATCGCTTTTTGCGATCTTCCGTTCTCGTGCAAGGCAATCAGAGCGCGACGGCGTCGCGAATGAGCTCGGTCGAGTGTGGTGTTGGTTGATTGCTGCGCGCAGTTACATTTTGATACGCACATTTGTGTCCGCTTCCGGTCAGTGTTCAGCCGATTGATGAGAATGGCTGCTGGAACGGGCGACCGCAGGACGCAGCGCTCGTTCCCAGTCAGGTCAGCTCGGCCTTAATCTTTCGGGGGTCCCAGGTCTGCGGAGGGGTCCCAGGTCCCCGGAGGGGTCCCAGGTCCCCGGAGGGGTCCCAGGTCCCCGGAGGGGTCCCAGGTCCCCGGAGGGGTCCCAGGCCCCCGGAGGGGTGCCAGGGCCGTTCCGACTGGAAGGCGTTAAGAACGGTTGTCTTTGGTTGGGATATTTCAGGCGCAGATTCCGCAATACCTGTACCCGTTTCTGACAACCAATACCAAGACGCAGCCATTCGAGTACCTGCGGCTGACCAGTCTGGGCGTGATCGGTGCCCTGGTTAAGGTCAGTGACCTGAGGCTGGGGCTTTGACCTTGGATAGTCTCGGGCAGCAGCAGCCGCTCGGCTGTCGTCCTTTTTTGCAGAGACAGGACAGTAGCATTTGCTGCCTTCTGATCACATGGGTTACGATTGAAGAGAACGGTAAGTCACACAGTGCCCCACGGAGAACGCTGTCATCCCTTCAAATCGCTTCGCTGTGCTGCACTGTGAACATTCCGTGTCATTGACTCACTAGGGCCGCTTGTCTTAAAAGCGTCAGCTTTCTTAACATTGTGGTGAATAAGGCTGGATACTGTCTCCTTGCAAATTGCCTTTTAGTGAAGTCCATGCGACCTTTTAAAAAAGTTTTGAAGTGCACTTAGAAAACGGATCTCAAGCACTCGTTAATTAGCTGCTTGGGAAGCTCTCGATATGGTGATATTGCAAAATATCCCGTGACGGTCTCACAGGTGCTGGCATGTGGTAACAAAACTTGACTGGAAGTTTCGTGCATTGCACTGTCAGCATCGCAAATTCAGCGCCCTGGGTGGCAAACTGATTTTGTGCACCATTTTAGAGCCGGAACTGTCCATGACCATCAGAACCTAACAATGTCATGTGCCGATAGAGGTTGAACCGGGGAGGAAAGCAACGGAGCCGAATAATTGTGCTGTATAAAGTAATGATACTTCCATTATTTATCAACAAAAAATAGCGGGCTGGTGTCCAGTCCAGTGTGCACTGTTAACCCAGCGTGTATACGGATGCTCGATGCGAGATGTCCACCTTCACACTCCCATGGATGTAACACTTCTGTACTCGGTGACGTTGAACTTTGTAGTGTGATAAAATTGTGGGTTCAGTATCCTGCCCAGGACTTTATACCTAAAGATTTAATAGCATGGCTGACCAATCTCACCACCCATCATCATGCACGGAAGAGGCAGCCAGTGCACATTCTGCATTTTATTGCAGCATGGCATGAAAAGTGATGCTTGTTATTACATAATACTTGATATTATATAAGGGCGGATGCGCTCAGCGCATTGATTTGTGAGAAAGTTTGTCGGGGGCGGTGAGAATGGCGTGCCGTCAGACGCACGGTAGCTTTTCGTGACAACTCTGATGTGCGCCGCGCAGACCGATGAGCAGGAGGTGATCAATTTCCTGCTGACCACCGAGATCATCCCGCTGTGTCTGAGGATAATGGAGTACGGAACAGAGCTCAGCAAGACCGTCGCCACGTTCATCCTGCAAAAGATCCTTTTAGATGAGACCGGTAAGTATTCTGGCCCTGTTACCACGTTTAGCGTAAGCCAGCACGCGCATTTCAGACTGATAAGCTGCGAATTTGCCAACCTTGTGGTGACACCACAGCTCTGCGAGGAGGTGCCTGGTGCATGGTGGAGGGAGTGACATGGGCGTATAGATGTTTCATAGGGTACGGTAAAGGAGTATCATGAGCGTGTCACACGACTCGAACATTTTTCGCCATTTTATGTCGCAATGATGGTGGATTAACTCATTGTCACACTTTGCATCCACGTGCCTTTCCCGGCTCAAACACAGCTGAGTGGCCCGCGAGTACGAGAAGAGGCTAGACCTCACCTCACCTCACCTCGCCTCACGCCGTCGCCGTCAGGCCTCGCGCACATCTGTCAGACGTACGACCGCTTCTCCCACGTGGCCATCACTCTCGGCAACATGGTCATCAACCTGGAGAAGGAGAAGTCGGCACGCCTGCTGAAGCATGTCATCCGCTGCTACCTGCGTCTCTCCGACAACGCCAGGTGAGCGAGCGACGGGAGCGCGCGCGCGGAGGGGGGGGGGGGGAGACGGGGCGAACTAGGCGCCCGACTCTGGGACTTTGCCATCCCCGACTCTGCGGCTCCGTGCCCGTCATAGTGGCTGGGTGTCGATGTGCGTGTGAACGGTGCGTTGCGTCGCCAAGGCCTGGTCGTCAAGAGCGGCCATTCGCTCCAGCTCTCTGAACTTTGAATCAGTCGTGTGCGGCGCGCTGTTGCGGTGCATTGTGAAGCGCCGTACAGCGGAGGGGCGGCGGATGAGGGCCGCGTGCCTTGCGGCGGGGGCAGCTCGGGTGTGATCTCGTGTCGAGTGACGTGGGCGCTATGTGACCATTGCAGTCGGCGCGCCCTAAAGCTTAAACCGTTATCATTATCGTGTCGAATGGCGGACGCGATGTGTTCAGCTGTCTTTTCGCGTGTTTTTCATCGCGTTCGATGCCGACCTGGGGTGCCCAATGACCCCGATCAGAACAAGGAGGCCTCACCGCGAGTGGCCGTGTCCAGGCCCTGTAAGGGCTTTCGATAGCCAGCTCATGTTTGTCCAATAGGTTGGGGTCAACATGGGATAGTTCGGACCATTTGTGACGCGTGACGCACGCCCATACCGCCCCTGGGACGCCGGCGTGACCCGTCACGGTCGCCGGCAGGGCGCGCGTGGCGCTGCGCTCCTGCCTGCCGGACCAGCTGAAGAGCGACACGTTCGACGCGTGCCTGGACGACAAGTCTGTGCGCCACTGGCTCAACATGCTGCTCAAGAACCTGGAGGAGTCAGCCGGCGACGTGGCGCGCCTGCCGGCCGGCGCCGCGCTGAAGGCGGCGCAGTAGACGGCGCGCGACCGCCACCAGGCGGCGCCACCGCCACGTCCCCCGCCCCCCCCCCGCCCCCCCGACGTCGGGGTGGCGCGAACGCTGTGCATCTGGTGCGGTTGGCGAAGCGGTCAGCGATGTCGGTGCCCGTGCGGTGCGGTGAGGAGAGAGCAGCGTGTGCAGGGACCTCAGGACCGGGGGGCCGATACCGGTGACACTCAATGGCCCCTGTCCAATGGGCGCGTGTCTTGCTCTGCGTTTCAAGTTCAGCGTGCTGAGAACCGCGGTGTAGCGCCGTCGCGTCGCGCAGGCCGGTGACCACACGTCAAGACTGGTTGGTCACAGCTCGATGGCGACGACTCGCATGTGTGCAGTGGTGCCAGAACGTGCTTGCCACGTCGTCAGCGTTGTTGGTGGAATGCCGCCAACCTTTTCCGGACTCTGGACGTTCTGCGAGTTTGCGACCATGCCTGCGTGTTGCATCCGCCTTGCTTAGGACAGTTGGCGATTTGCTGAATCTTGTTGCCAACGTGTGCGTCATCTGTCCGCTTGCCAAGATCCGTTTGCTCTCCTTGCATTGGCATTACCCTGTCTGCAGTAGGCTAAGGACAGCTCTCATCAAAATGCACTTCATGTGTGCACTAAGTTTGGCATATTCGGGACCTTCCATAACATGCCGTGGACGGCCTATCAGGTCCATCTTTTGCCTGCCGTGTTTCGATTCATATCTGACCCGGTCGCTCCACCGCTGCGCCTTTCTGTCTGCCTCTCCGTCTGCCCTCCGCCGGGAGTTCGCCTCCATGTGCCCATCCCTCAGCGTCCGCTGTCGTGCCGCCGTGATGATCGTCTGCACTGTCCGCTCTGTTCGCCGGGTCGCTGCTGCCATTGCGGCCGATCAGTGAAATGGGCTCGACAGTGAGACGTTGGGCACGTTTTGATTGCAGGGAAATGTCTGTTCGCGAACGAGGAGGAATGCCATCTGTGAATGCCGGTATCACTTACGTGGTTTCGTGCGTTCGTTTATGTACATGATAGCACTATGAGACGGGGACCTAAGTTGGTACTAAACCCGAAATGCATGAAAACTACGCTAAAAGGAAGCGAACGCAATCTTTTGTGTTCGGGTGTATCAAAATAGACGATAAATTTTGTTAGTAAAAGCTCCCGGCTCTTCCTTGACATGCTATTTCGGTAGACCTGATAACATTCTTTGGGATAGCGTTCCGTTTATCCTGGTTGTTATGTCATGCATTTCAGATTTCGTACCAATTAGGTCCAACACTGGCGTGTGAAGTGCTGGGCGTGCTTATCTATACCGGCAGTGGTGTGATGAAGTGCGATGAGGTTGGCAGTGTTTGTACGCAGTGTCCGTTGGCAGTTTGCGTAGTTAACGAGAGCTCAGAAGAGGAGTTCCCTGGGCCACTCCAGGTCCGGGCGGCCAGCAGATGGGTTATTTATCAGGTGATTGGGCTGCCCGGAACGCCCTGCGTTGTCCTCTTTCTACAGCTGCTGGTAGTCGCCAGCGCGAGCCGGTTCGTGCAGCGTCTTGTTCGGCGGACCGCGCGCCGCCCGGCCGGTCTCCGCTGAAACGGCAGACAGATGGCGAGATTCTGAAGGTGCGCTGGCGCACTCGCGTGTCGCTCCGATCCGCCGGGCGCAGCTCCTTGGTGCATGGATCGGTCGCCTCATGAAGCATGTCGCCGCCGTGTGGCGTTGAGGCAGGGGGCTGGAGCGAATCCAGATCGGCCCCCGTCGCGATTGTTCAGGCGCGGCACGCCAGGCCTCCATTCAGTTTGTGGCGGCAGTGTAGTGCAGTGTCGCGCCTGTCGTGACTTGGTGACGTCAGATGTTCAGGGCCGTCGGTCACGCATTTTGGGACAGACCGCCGACAAATGTACATGATATGGTCGGGCTTCTTGTGCCCGGCAAGTGACTTGGAGATGATTACGTGGGTGGATTTTTTGCTAAAATAAATGGACCGCTGTTCGTCTTGACGTTGCTGTTGCCGGTGGCATCTGCGACACCGAACGGCCGGTGTGGTCCTTCATGTGGGACTGCGGCCATGTCCGTTGGGGCGACTGGTCCGTTCACTGGAAGCCTTGTCGCCAACCCCCAATCGTCGCTGTCGGCTGGTGATTGGGTGTGGATCGGATGGGATGATGGGTGTGATGGGTCTTCTACTAGAGCGCCTTCTTGAAGTCAAATATGTTGGGATCATGCTACTTTCCAGTGAGGGGAGCGTAGTTCAAGGTCATTTCGCTAACAAGCCCGTGCCGGTCGCGATTCCTCGGACAGACGTGAAATAGACCAAGGGTACGCAACATTTTGGCAATGCTTTTAAATGTATAATTTAGAAGCGCGTACCAAAGGTGCCTATTTACAAAATCAGGTTGCTAAGTGGCTGGTCCAACAGCTGGACTGGAAGGGTCGGCGCAGCGGGTGGGACAGGGGAGCGGTTGTCCCCCTGCCGGCAGACAGGGCGGGGGGCTGGAGTATATTTCACCCCAAGTAATAGGGGGCTCCTTTTTCCCAACTCAAGGCAGATTTTAAGTACCCGTAGAGAGTCAAAACTTAATGTCCGACAAGTAAACGTCGCACTCGTTCGAATTCAGTATCGAGTTCGGATTTCCAAAAGCAGCCTCCCAAGAGCAAACCCAACGAGATAATCACGAATTTGCAATGCTTTCTTCGCACTTAACCACTTAATCTCAATAAGTCACTTAATTCAACCTCTACAGGCCAACGCTTGGTCAAAACTCGTGTGCCCTACTATTTATTTGCTTATCAAAGCAATGTTTAAAAAAGGCCGTCATTCTTATTGTTGTGACGTCTCGTCACATCCACAAAAACCCAAAGTCAAAGGTCAAGGTCACGTGAAAGGAAACCCCTGCCTTTTATTTGTTGGCCAGGTAAAGGGAACAACTTGGGTATCATAGTGGCGTCGTGACGTCCACTTTCCGTGCGTCATCAAGAAATATGAATGCCAAAGATCAAGTTCACACGAAAGTGGAAACCGAGTATTTTCTTGTTTATTCTTAAAATGGAATTATGCGTGGTCAAAGTTTTTTTAGAAATTGACCTCTTTACCTGGTTTAGGTAAATGACATTGACGGATCAAAACCTCAAATTTGCATATCATGCCAAATTTGCCAATGCCAATGCATGATGGAAATTTGGTGTTGCTGCGAGCGTTCGGCGGATGCCCTCCTTCTGGAAATGTATTTTCCCCGTTCGTGTCAATGGACCTGCATTGCGAGCCTGCTGTGCTCCTAGCGTACACTGCTCCGTGCTGCTGTGCCTCTGAGGGGAAGGCGACCATCTCCCGATTCAGTTCAAACGTTTGGTGAGTGAAACACCCGTCATGTCAGTGTCCTTCGCTGTGCAGATTGATCGTAACAGTGTTTCTACTTACAAGTTGCAAGCCAGGTAAACAAGTTCCTCCTTGCTCAGTAAGAAAGAACAGCCTCATAAGTGTTTAAAGGAGTAAATCGAAAGGAGCTCAAAACTTAAAAAGGACCAATCCTGTTTGCCCGAGAGCGTCAATCGCTTTATAGAATCGACTACTGAAACTAATTAAATCTAGACAGCTTTGAGTCTGCACGCTTGCGATATTGGGATACCGATAAGGACCATGGGATCCTTGCATACCGATAAGGTGACTTCAGTTTTCATCAAATGAAACGGTGTTGGTCGCAGGAGGTGCACCAGACGTCGGGCGTTGGGCGTGCAAAAACGACCGCTGTGAAACAATTCTTTCGAAAGTCCTTAAAAATCAGCTCGTATTGTCCCAAAATAAGACTGGAACGTATATTTCAGGTGTAGAATTGGAGGTTGGCCCGAGGATGTCAATGCCTCTCGCCGGGTGCCGGGTACCCCGGCCGGATGCGGCTCCCTCAGACCACTGGCCGGGCGCAGCTTAAAAGGACTGGATGATGTTTGGCTGTTTGCCATGTACGCGCAGCAACCCAAATTCTCTCCTTCGATTTGGAGGGATTCGAACCTGGGTCTTCTGGTGAGGAGTTCACTGATATACCAACCGAGCCAACCGAAGAGGAACACTTATTTCTGCACTTTAAGGGGGGCCGTGCTGTGGTCGCCGATGATGGGTGTCGCTGGCCGGCTTTACAGCCCAAGTGTCCACCGTCGCCACGACAGGCATCGCTAGGGGCGTGCTCTATTGAGCGCCACGCCAGGGGGCTTGCCAACGGCGATCGCATGAAGACCGCGGCCAGTGTCTGGAGTTGCCGTGCGGCGCGGACGTCTGGCCAGCGGCGTGTTTGACCGGCAGCCAAGCTCGCGTGTCTAACGCGCCTCCATCGGCCACGGCCGGGTACAGGTGGAGCCTCGCGTGTCTAACGCGGCTCCACCGGCCACGGCCGGCGACAGGTGGAGCCTCGCGTGTCTAACGCGGCTCCACCGGCCACGCCCGGCGACAGGTGGAGCCTCGTGTGTCTAACGCGGCTCCACCGGCTACGCCCGGTGACAGGTGGAGCCTCGCGTGTCTAACGCGGCTCCATCGGTTACGCCCGGTGACAGGTGGAGCCTCGCGTGTCTAACGCGGTTTCACCGGCCACGGCCGGATACATGTGGAGCTGCGAACGAACGCGAGGTATGCGATCTATGAGTACCCGTGTGTGAACGTTATGCTATTTCTTACCGCAGAACAAAAACCATTTTGCTGGTACACCCTTTAAAAGGGAGTGCGCCACGTCCGAGTGAGGATTTGAACTTAACTAGCCATCTTGAAGACATTTCGGTGCAGTTCACAGCCCTGCTCTTTTTATGACCTGAACTCCCCTAGTTCTTGATCTACAGACCCATGAAAATGGGGGGAATATTTTACAGTCACTTAGACGTTTACGACGTCATAATAACGATATTCAAATCTCTCATTCCATTAGTTGTGTGACGATCAAGACCAATAAATATATAACTGAAGACCCAAGCCTTCCTAGTTTCTGAGCTACGCGCCCCTGAAAAGTAGGAAAGGTATATCGGGGAGAGTATTTTAAAGTCACCTTGGCATGG